GGAGGACCGAAAAGACGAAGCCAATGTCTATAGGCTTCTCGGACGTGACCTGGTTTCTTGTTGTCCATGGGGATCATGAGTTGGAATTTGCTTGACCAGTCAATGACATTCAGGGCCGGGCGTGACCTGCTGCCAAGCGTCGGTAAGAAGATGACGTCCACCCCGACGCACTCATTGAAGGCCAGTTCCTTTGGCGGTGCACTTCTCCGAGCAGGTTTTACCTGTGAGTGTCGTTGGCACACACTGCACCGGAGATGTTTGGCAGCTTCGATGACCTCAGGTTTGGCCTTCGCGTACCGAAGGATTCGAACAAACCTGTCCGAGGTCGGGTGGCCTAAGCCGACGTGTGCTCGGTGAAGAAGACGTTCCATGGGAAAACGGGAATGTAGCGGTAACTGTTGTTCTGGGTTCTCCGGGGTCTCGCCCTCTTCCTGCTCCTCTTCTGGTTGTAGTTCCCCATCGTCCTCTTGGTTCTCCCGGTCATGTGGTCCTCGATTCTCTTCGTTCGCCAAGATCTCGGCCGTAACATAGTCCGGTAGGTCAGGTAGGCGAGAATCTGGTTCGTCAAGTGCTCGGGAATCGGGGTCCTGACATTCGGTGTGACCAGCAGGTACTTCCCGTTGTAGGTCCTTTAAGGCCCGGAACTCGGTGTCCATGAGGTAGTTCAGCCGGTGGTTCTCGGCCAGCATGCTCTCGGAACTGACCACTTCCACATGGTCCACGTTGATGGACTGGCTGTAGGCCTTCAAGATAGCCGATCGAAGTTTCTCCGGGTATACCTGTGATCGTTGAGACCGGTTGCCACCAATGGTGACTTCGTGTTCATGATTGCCAGGACAAAGCTTGCTCAGAGCTTGAGCAATTGCTTCTGAGTTCGTGGCGAATCCGGTTCTTTTTCTTTGGGGAAGGCCCGATTGACCCTGCAGTCCGTACTGGCATTGGTCAGCCTTGGTGTAGATGACGTTCGGTCGATCCAACAGCCGCTCCATGGCACAGTGTTTCCAGGAGGAAGCGGCATGTGGATGTTCAAATATGAACTTGATCCCGAGTTCGTCGCAGAATTCGCACAACCGAATGGCAAAAATCAATAACCTGTCACCTTCTGCCTTGTTTTTCAAGTATCGTTTCATGAGGTCCGGCAGTCGAGCACGTTTCTCTTTGGAGAGGTTTTGCAGCTGAGTGTACATCTTGCAAGGTGGTGCAATGCAAACAAGTCCTGGTTTAGTGACCTTGACATACTGCATGACTTCGTTTTGTTTGTCTTCGTTTAACAAATCGTCTCCTAGACTCAAATCAAAAGCGCGACCGGGCGACAAATGAAAACGACCAGTGATTTTCTGGAAACAACCAGGATTGTACACTTCGGCAACGGTCTTAAGTTGTTTAACAGTTAACCCCATGACTTCGGCGATCTCGCGAGATCTTTTTGTGCCGGCTGGATTCAGAGTGAACTCCTGGCAAATTTCGTCATTTAAGACCTGAGCCCAGTGCTGCAAGGGCGTATCAGCCAGCAGCAATTGAAGCTCTCGCCAAAAAGCTGTTGCCTTCTTAATGGCAGCCCGAAGCTTCCGTTCTAGCTTCGGGGTGACCTGTCTCACTGTTCCTCCCGTCTCGGAGGTTGTCGTTGGTTTTTCCAACGAAGGTATTCTTGAAATTCCTGGTAGTCGGTCAGGTGCTCCAGGTCGGTTCCATCCGATGTGGTCTGGGGAGTCGCTGGAGAGGGAATCCCCTGGCGTGATGGTGGGGCCGAGCTTGAGGACGTCGTGCTGGCCTTGGACTTGTTTCCCTCTTCCGTTTTCCCGATCTTCTCGGACTTGATGACCTTGTTGCACGTGCGACAGGTGACCTTGGTGAGATAGGCATTCGAACCCTTTCGATGTGTCTCCTTGTGTTGACATTTGGTTTGGATCATGGCCTCTAAGATCTGTGTGTAGCTCACAGGTTCGTCGCCGGGCTGTTGCCGGTGACGCCAGCTTTCCAGACTCAGAAGAGGCTGCTGTTCGCACCACTGGACGAAGCGGCACTGATGTCCCAGTTCCAGGGGGCATCGAAAGTACAACTTCTCGTAGTTGTGTCCCGTCGGGCCCGAGTCGCTGAGGTGGATCTTGCACTGAAGGGCGCAATGACACCTCGGACGTGGTTCCAAGATCATCTCGATGCCTGGTAGGCTGTTGATCTGCCGACACCTTTCGGTGAGGACGGGATCTGGAGGAGGTCGTGGTCGACGAGCTGGATGGGTGCTGGTCTCGCTGAGGTTGGACCAGTGTCCTTGTTCCTGAGGTCGATGACCAGTATCTTCTCGCCGATTCATTTCCTGGCGGGCCACATTCTGGATCATCGGTAGATCTTCGTCTGGTAGGGCTCGAATCATCTCCTTCAGGGCCTCTCGGTGTGGCTTGGTGCTGAGCATATGGTCCATGAACCTTTCCAGCATCTGCTGAAGGGGCATCAGAACCAGTAGAAATCGTCTCATCAGGCGGAACCACGATTGAAGAACTCGATGCTGTTGAAGGTCTTCTTCTTCGAGAGTCGGACTGGCCCGAACACGTTTCTGACCAGCGGTTTGCATGGCAAGCAGCTGAGTGCGGAGTAGCAAAAGGGCTCGTGGCTTGAGTGGTACTCGGCTTCGGCGGTTCCATGCAGCCATCCTGCAATTTCAAGACCTCAAACTCGACCGAAGTGCTCTGGTTCATCAAGTTTTGTTCTCGTTCGAGTGCTTGTTTTTGCATCTGGTTGTATTGTTGGAGTGGAATTCGTAAAGCACCAGTTGGGCCAAGGTGAAGGGGAACTGGTTCGGGAGTTCCTCGAAGCCGTAATTGGAGGCCTTGTTCATGACAAAGGATAACTTCTCCATGACAATGGAGTAGGAAGCTGAGAGAGATGAGGAAGGGCGCACCTGAGCTTTCCTCGTTTTCGAAGACAGCGGGCTTCAGGAAGCTTCCCTTGGTACCCAAAGAACATGGGATTGTAGCAACCTTGGACGTGACTGATGTCTGATGCACGCTCCTGAACCTGTTTGTTTCGGGAGTGAGGGTGATCTTCAGGGGTTCAGGAAGGTGTTGAGCGAACTCTCGAAGTGTTCGTGCACCAATGGCAAGTCGTTGGCATCCCGTATCGACGGTGGCACAAGTTGCGTCCACCATATCTTGAGGTTGGGGAGACTTGGAGACGAGGTTGCAAAACATGTTTTCAAAAACAAACAAGTGTTCAACACCGGTCGGACGGAAAAGGTCACTCTCCATATATGCCGACGCGGACGGGCGTTCAGCATCCGTGGCAGAGCCAACCTTTGGCTGCCAGTTCCTACCGGCCGGGCTCAGGGGAGTCGTCTCTCCATGCCGCTCAGTACTGGTAGGAGACCTCGTAGCCAGGTTCATGGCGTTGGCTTCCAGGATCGTTGGGTCAGACTCGAAGTCCAGCACGTCCTCGGCAAGGTGTCCAATGAAGAATGCCTCATCGGTGTTCTCCAAGTAGTGGCTCTCGTTAGTCTTCAAGTCCGGGTTCTTCTGAGGCGGATTCTTACAGTCCCGCTTCCAGTGTCCGATCTGGCCGCAGTTGCGGCAGCGAGTTCTTTTCTGAAGCTCAGCTATGGTGACCGAATACGAGCCCGGTCGAAGTGGTCTGTCCCGGACGGATCCTCGATCATATCCTCCTGGAGGTGGTCGCTTTCCGTAGCCACGGGCCAGTTCTCTGGCCTTTTTATTTTTGATCGATTGGGTGTAGGTCTTCTTCTGCTGCACGTAGGTGGAGAGGATCTCGGCAGCCTCACCTTCACTAAGGACTGTGTCACCGTCGGCGTCGTCCTGAAGGTGCATGATGCACTGCTCAAGTTCATCGATCTCCTCCTTGTCCTCGTCGTTCTCCTCGATGTCATTATTCTCGATGTGGTGTCCCTCGAACTCCGTGAGAGAGTGGACCTGGTTCTTCTTCTTATCAGTTCCCAACTCTGCAGCTGACAGTCGGGTTTCGTTCTTCCTCAGCCAGCTCTTGATGGAGCTCGGCTTGATGCATCCATGAGTGTAGTTCAGCATTGCCTTGGTCTCGGTCTCGGTGAGCTGAAGGCCATTGATCATCAGAAAGCCCTCATACTCTTCCGGGAGGGTGATCTTGTGTTGGTGGACCTTGCGAATGGCACCATCCCACTTCGCAAAGTACTCTCGCCAGGTCTCGTTCCGTTGGCGCCTCAGGTGGTAGGTGATCCTTGACATGGCGGTGAGCATGTGTTCTTGTTGATCGTCTCCATACTTCTCTGGGGTGTCCATGTCGTTGAGGAGCCGCTCGGCGCCATGAGGGTCAGCCATCCATTCTGGGTCTTTTGCCCAGTGTTTGTAGTGCTCGAATGGAGCGCCGCTCAACATCTTCAACAGTAGGGGGCCGCGAGATCGACCCTTGGCCTTGGTCGTGGCGATCCATAGCTTTGCCTTTATGAAGTAGTCCTCAAAGGGCGTCACGCCGTCCCAAGATGGTGGTGGTCCAGCCGACCCCCGGCCATCGCCACCTCCATCTTCTTCTTCTTCTTCGTCGTCTCGCTGACGACGTCGTCCGCGAAGACCGCGCCCTTCTTGCTCCCTTTCCAGACGGAGAAACCTCTGGAACCGAAGAAAGGCTTCGCGGTCAGACCCCATGCCATCGGGCGCGCCGGGTGAACCTGCGGCTGGCGATCCTCCTACGGGTTCATCCAGATCGCCATCCGATGGCGGGACAGCCTGAGTTTGTCCGGCCATCCCAAAAGCCACAACTCCAAGCGGGGGCTAAGTGTCCCACCAAAAAGGGAGTCGACCCCAAACCAAAAAGGGGGGGAGACCCGGACGTTGCCGGGCTCCGCTACCACTGTGAATCCCAAAAACCGCAGCAAGCCCCCAAGCAAGAACGGACTCCCTTTTCAGCGGACACGTAACCCCCATTTGGAGTACAGGTTCCTAGCTTGGTCTTGGGTCGAGCGATGCCGATGTTCCAATTTCACAGAAGCATATATGAACACTGGATCGGGACGCTTTTTTATGCTTTTTTCATATCCTGCATCGGCTGCATCGGCCGCTTGCATTTCCTCCAATTGGGTTTTCACCATCTCAGGAGCTCGAATTCCTGGCACAGCACCAGGCAGGGATCAGATGACTCACGAGTTCCCCTGTGCATCCGTGGCTTCATTGTAGCTTTGAAGCCACGGATGTTGTCCATCGACTGTTCCAAGGGGGTCAGTCTGTCACGCGAGCCGCCCTGCGCTGGTCAGTCCTGTGTTCGCCGTGGCCCGGCTCGGCCTCCGTGGCCGACCGGCACCGGTTGGGGCCGACCGGCACAGCGCAGGTTCCGTGCGAAGTGGTGCCGGGCATCACCAGCGCCCTGGGCGCGGCGGCCAGTTGCCAGGCGCCGACCGGTGTGGTGTGTTGGAGATGAAAGACCGGTGTGGTGGGGTGAGAGTGCGGTACTTGGCAGGTGAAGGGGATGTTCTTTGGGATGTGGCCCTGTGGCCCAGATAGAGAGGATCTGTGAGTGATATTTTGAGGTTTCTGGTGGCCAATGTATTGATGATGGTGATAGCTTTCACGAAAAAAAATGCCTGTGCTAAACGCATCTAACGCTAAACTCTTTGTTCACGCTGGGACAGATGTTTGTTCGTCTCTCATTCATGGCATTTCTTCCGCCTCTCTGCCTTCGCGGACCGCCCCGTGCACCGTGCACCGCACCGCAACGCACGCACCGAGGTGCCCTTGACCCATCGCGGCTTCAGCACGAATCACGTGCACCTCTGCGTGGGGCAGAGCAAGGCTAAGACCCTTCCGGCGCCTGGGCTCGCCACCTCGCTCCGCCGGGCCGCCGGGCTTCGGGGTGAAGAGAAGAAGCGAAGAAGCGATGCATATAACCCTACGCTCCGAGGAGCCTCACATGGAAGCGGAATTGGACCGCTTCCTGTTTGTAGAGGATATCTTGTTTCATTGTTTTTTTTGTTTTTTCACGGGTACTTGTAGTTGTCTACTTCCCATGATTTCCATGCTTGTGTTTGGGAGGGTGTGAAAGAGAGACGTGTGCGGCAGACTCTGACTGAACATGGAACTGGATGGCATGGTTCCTTGAAGGACTAGACGAGTTTCCTAAGCAGTCTTCTGAGGGACCACGTTCCACCTCCACATTAGTGAGTCAGAGTGCAGGTGTAGCTACCAGATTTGGGGTGTTACTGTTCTGGAAAAGATCCGTTGCAGTCCAAACTCAAAGCTCTTGCAGAAGTACCACGGACCATGCAGCCGAGCAAGCAGCTGAGCAAAATCATAGATTCCTAGCAGATTGGGTCATGGTTGGTCAAAACCCGGAGCTGTGGCAGGAGGTGGACCTCCCTTGCACGTCCGTTCCTCTCGGTGACCAACCCAAATCACCCAAATCACGGACCAACCAACGGCCGCATCGATGAAATCTGGTGCGTGCAAGTCTGGTCGTTCGCCCCAGAGTCGGCTCAGATCGAGCTCACAGAGCTCAAAGGGTCGGGGAGGGGAGGGTGCTTTCGGGTCGTTTCAGTCGATTTTCGGGTCGGGTGCAACCGGGGTGGTCGAGTTTGGTTTTTCATGGTTTTTCCCCCGCATTCACAGGCTGACTGTAAATTAACCAGAACATCCAAGCGCAACAAGCGTGCATCCGACCCCGTATGCTGTTCAGCTTGTTTCGGGTCGTCCAAAGACAGCTTGGTCCAACGGACGAGGTTCCGCTCGTCTTGCTCCACGGACTCCACCACACATGTAGACAGACTCTGAGGATTCATTACAAAAAAACACATTACAAAAGATATCATGGATTAAACCTCTTAAACCTCTTCAACCGGCCTGCACATGGGGGGATGTGATTTTTTCATATCATCCGATGCGTCAGTCGAGTCGCTCGCTGTCTCTGCCGTCACCGGTGAGTCGCTCGCTCCGCTTTCGATCGAGGACATGGACTGGTCTGAGATGGCGAAGCGGGCCATGAAGCAGACGGCGGTGTGGGCTCAGCACGGCGTTTGTTTCGGCGTTGTCTTCGTTTCGGTGAGCACTACCCCAAGGCACGTTTAGAAAAGTTTGTCAAGTAAGGTAGACTCTTGACATGTTTGTTTTTTTTCTGTCATGGGCTAGACTCTTGATGAATATATAGAAAAGAAAACATAGAATTACAGTTATAAAGAGGTTTTGCACTCCAAGTCGTATCTGGTTTGGTATTAATCAAGAAATCAAGAGTTTGCATTGTAATGAGGGGGACATACAGTGAATATTATATAGTATCTTCAAAGTGGGGAGTTGGTTGTTCGTTTCTTGATCGGCTTTAGATGGCCTTTGGGGTTGCAACAGTTCTTGGTTTACACAGATGTGTTGAGTTTGTTAGAAGCTGGAAGATCGACAATCATTTTGAACCAACCTATTCCTCCTCCAACCAGCTACTATCTGGTTGATTTGAGAAGGGGTCCGGCAAGGTGTTCTCATAAACCAAACAACCCAAGGTTTGTTATCCATATCATTATATCATACAGTATTATGTTTATTCATATTGAGTGGTGAGTGGTGAGATGTTCCTGTGGACCTTCCGAAGTGTTGATTTCGTCACGTCTCTTCCATCGGTGGAAGTCGGCTGAAAAGCAAACTCTGCTGGCTTCGGAAGGAAGACGCCGATTTCAGACCCAGACACAGCCACGCATCGATTCGTGGTGTCCCGTTGCATGTTCGTTGTGGCCGTTGCATGTTCGTTCCAAGGCTGACCTCAAAATCAATGAAACTGTTGTGATGCCCAGGACCTCAGGACTTCTAAGCTAGAGTCCTTGATCCTCATCGGCTCATTTTTTCTGCCCCTCTTCAACAAAGCAAAACGAAACTGCCGCATGTCAAGCTACTGCAGCTACTGTGCACAGGTCTTCTACATGGGCTTGAAGCTACTGGACCAGATTTCGACCACCTTGAGGTGCTGGACCATTACCGGCAGTATCTGGTAGTATGAACGAGGTTCTAAGACATCTGAAAACAGTAGCACCTGGCCACAGAGATCTCAGCAGCGAGTGGCCCGATTGATTCAAGAAACAATTGAAGAGTGATCAATGATCAATGTTTTCTCATTGCACTGTCAGGACAGGCTTGAGCTTTAAACCGCGCACACTGGAAGCAGTTTAGCTCAAGCGTCTAAGAGGCAGCATGATGCCTTCAGGAGTACTGTGAGATATCCAAGCAGTTGTGCCTGGTTTCGAGGCAGACCTCATCGAGAGTCGAGAGTATTCCCTAGCAGACCGATGCAGGTAGCTACAAAATTTCTATCTACCTTGCTTATATATGAATGATCTTATATATATATACCCTACGCAACCAAACCCTATAAATTTGTAGGGTCGATGGAAAAACCTAGGGTTTCTGAAGGAAACCCCAGGTTTTTCAAACCAGTAGTACAATACGGTTTTAGTACGGGTATGTACGGGTTAAATATGGGTTTAGTACGGGTTAAATATGCGTTTAGCACGGTTTAGAAAAACAAGACCCAAGGTTTTAAGAACAAACCTGAGGTATTGTTGATTTCACAAGAATACCCGAGGTTCCGATTGAGACCCTACAAATTTATAGGGTTTGGTTGCGTAGGGTATATATATATATATGTTGCGCAGGGTTGGAACTATAAAAGTGATCCATATCTTGCGTCTACGCAACTGCTGATGTCTTTTGGATGGTTCATGATCTTTGCCTGTTCGTTCCTCCCTTTTCCTGCAGAAAACGGGCCCTTACACAACTGGAAAAACCTGCAACGCACGCGGCCCAAAAAAACGTGGCTCCGCACCTAACTCCTCCGCCTTCGTGCCGATCCGGCCAACAAACCTCCCCAACTTGCTTGATTCAAGACAGCAGATCTCACTGGCTCAACGCACCTGTTGCCTTCAGCCAACCAGCCACCCAGACCTACCCACACAGCCAGCACGAATCAAGCGGACAGCGCAGCTCTGCACTGCCGCAGCAAGGGTGCCCGTCCGAGACAGGGCAGATGGCATGATGGAGGCGCCCTGCGCGCGCCACATGGCGCGCGAAGAGCATCGCTGCATCATTTGCATGGCCTCAGATGGCTGGCAATATGTGGCGCTGCATCTGGACGCTGGGTCGACTGAGACAGTCTATTTGGATCTCTTCTCCTTGGAGCTTTTGGTCTTTGATATCTTGCTTTCAACCTGAAAGTGGGACACCAACCCATGCCAAAGGGCAAGGAGTTTCAGCAGGTTTGAGGTCTCTTCGTGTGGTCCTTTGAACACCTACTTCCCCTTTTGGGGAGCTTCTGGAAACTTCTCTTCTTCCATCTACACTCCCCCCGTTGGGCCATCGCAACATCCCGCAACGGTTGCTGCGGACCGCGACCGCGACGCTGCCCGGTCGCTTTTCCCGCCCAGGAGGAGACCGCCTGGCGCCCCCGGGCAGTGCCCTACAGCGAGATCTTGGCCTCGCACACGGCCTGTGGTGCCTCGTTCAGAACGGCGCAGTCGAACGGCGCAGTTTCGACGAACCGCGCCGCGGGCGACGGAGAAGAGACAGGTACCAAAGCGGGCTCGGGCTGAGCACGTTGGTGCGCACATGGTATGGATGACGTCAGGTGCGCGGGCTGACAAATCGGTGGAGGTCTCTTTGGGGCGATTGTTTGGGGGAGCGGTATTGTTGACCGATGTTTTCCGGGGTGAACAACAAGATTGATAGAGGACTTTGGAGGACTTTTGGAAGCCACCTCCATGTTAAAATACAAAACTAATACATAGTGCCATCCTACTCTGCAATTGGGATGGTTGTGGTGCTACTTTTCTTTTCCTTGCTGTCGAATTTCTCCTCATTGTTAGATAAGCGGGTGGCACTTGCGACTGTGACCTTTCATGTTCCCTTCAATTGTTTTTTATTTTTTTCGTGTACTGCATGGTACTTGATTGTACCACAACTTTGATTCTGCGGTCTGTATGGTCCAACGGCCGGCCAAAAATGAATGATAGTGGATTAATTGAGATTAGATGGCTGCAGACTTCAATGTCAGCCGTTTAGTGGACCGCCATCTTTTCAGGAGATCATGGTGGCGGCCGCGCGTGAATGAAACCACTGTAGCTCAACATATCTGACATATCACAAACAGCGAGTTCTGGCCCGACGTGCCACCGCTATAAGACCTCCTTCACCACCAGGTAGCTGCTGGGCGGAGTGGGCGAAGCGCCAGGTGGCGCGCGGAAAGTGGCCCAGCTGCCCCATGTGTCAGCGGCGTGTGGAGGTGGAAGAAAGAGCCTTGGCAGAATGCCACAGCGGCATATTGAGCCGCATGCCACAGCGGCATGGGGAAGGTCAAGGAAAGATGTTTTTCTGACGAATGTGGTCTTTAGAGGCCATGAAGTGCCAAAACCACCAAATAGGGTTCAAATTCAACTGGAGTTGGCACAAAACGGAAGAGTCAAAACATGTCATGACCTTTACAAAGAGCCAGGTGGGAAACATCAGTTCGATGCTTTTTTGATTGGGTCAAGCTAAGGCTATGCAGAGGCCAAGTGCAAGGAGTGCCTTGAGGTGTTCCGCCGAGACTGACGGAACGACTGAAGGTGTTCCGATGTCGGAAGAGGATGTCCAGAACTGCGGACAGCATCTCTCTCATCAGTTTAACTCCATGGTGCGGTCGAACTCTTCACTACTCAACAAATTCACAGCTAGTGTAGTCTAAGAGGTGTATTCTGGAAGTGGATGTCATGTTTGCATATGTGTGTTGCATCCCCATCTGACCCCGAAGCAGATACGGAACTTTTTTTGCACGACCACAAGCGCCCGATCACTGGGTGGTTTCACTACGACCGTTCCTAAGACCGCGCGGAGCAGCCGCAGGTGGTCTTGAAGAGAGTGAAGTTGACGAAGAGCGTTTCAAGGCCCAAGTGCCAATGGTTTAAGGTGTTTTGCGGCACCTTGGGCCCCGTTTCAGCAGTCAGCAGTGGGAGTGTTGGGACTCGGTGGCCTTCGTGGCGACAAGTGGTGGGGAGATTCATTGAGTAGTAGCGTCCTTGCTCCTAGTAGTAAGGCCAGGAGCCCCGAACGTAGCGTCCTTGGTGGAAGAAGCATGAAGATGGTGCCAGTTTTGTCCCATGGGACTCGTGTCTTTCGGTCGGGAGGGCAGACGAGCAACATGAGCCGTACCCTCCCTCCAACGGAAGTGGACGACCCCCTGTTTGGCCCCCATCGTCTCCCCAAAACCCCAAACAGTCCACCAAACGGAGGAAGGGAAGGAAGGGTAAGGTGGATCATCCGGTTGCAAGTCCCGTCCGACCACACAGATCAAATGGAACCCTCTTTGGGCTGCGAGTTGATGAACTGCAGAAGACTTGCGCTGAAGATTCGCGACTATCGGAGAGGAGCGAGCTCCGATAGTGGCTGCAGCGTTGTGGCGTCACATTGACAGCGCCGATCCATGCTGCTTTCTCAGGCCTTTTCGTGGTCTTTTCCCTGTGGAATCTCTACTGGGTGACCCTCCAAGTGGCGTTCCCTGGCGCGTGTTGGGTGGAGTCCTTGGGTCATCGTTTTTTGGTTTTGGGTTTTGGAAGGTGAGTGTTCTTCATGGAGATCCCAAGCTCAAGACACAAGAAAGAAGATGTCAGAACATGTATTTAGATGTAAGTTGTCTTCTAAACATTTGTTTGGTCACTTGTGACACTCGAGTCTTCCAGATGGGCACAATTGGGATACTTTGAAGGCATGACTTCGGAACACTGCCATTGTTTTGAGGTTTTCAACAATGCATTTGACTGTGTAAACAACCTTACGCATTCAAGGCTCCATGCGATGGTACCCGGTTCCTGTTGCACTTGAAGGGCAAGATCAACTAGCAGACTTGATCAGCCCCAAAAAGCTAACATTATCAGACTAGTTTTTTTTTGTGGTTTACATCGGTTCAGGTTCACTTTTGTCAAATTGTTGTTGAGACCCTCGAACCATCGATTTGGTCGGTTTGTTAAGGACGCGCCATTGCATTGCTTTGACTTACAATGGTTGGATTTGCTTTGGACAGTGTGATTACCCTCAATATACTATGAATCACAACTTCAACCTTCATGTTAACACAGAGAAGTGCCTGTGTCTCTTCGGAGAGCTTTCTCATGAACACTTCATCAACCTTCAGGCATGACACTCACTCTGATGTGTCATGTTTTCGTGCAGTTCCAAAACCAGGCAAAAAAACGCTGGGCAGACCAAAGGTTTCAGTCTTCTTCGACTGGTGTTGGCAATGGAGAAACCAGAGACACAATCAGCAGAAGCACGAAGCACGGAAAGCACTTTCACACCACACATGAGACGAAAAACTGAAGCACTGGAAGAGGGCATGTCATTTTCTAAGCAGGAGAACTGTTGAGAAGTGAAGTGGACTGAGCTGGTCTTTGCGTGTGTGACCTTGAAGTTCAAAACCACGTGCAGAGAGGATGGAATCCCCCCAAAACAACGATAAGGCACCTTCAAAGGGGTCACCAATGGAAGCCCCTACAATACTTAGGGACCTCCATTGGACACCTCTTGAAGGATTGTCCAGGAAACATGCAAAAGGGGCAATGGCCAAACAACACTGCAATAAAAAGAGGTGCAGTGAGCTGCTCCGCAAGTTGTGATTCTTCTGCCTTCAGGTTAACCTTGAGCTCACCCGGTTGGGTCAAGGAGCTCCCCCCTGCGCTCCGCCTAGCCACTTGGCGCACAAGTGAGACCAGCAGATGGGAGGTAAACGGAGGCTTCGCCTTAGGGTACCTTGTGGAAGACGCACGGCCGTGTTGTGCAGTAGCTGGATAGCTGGAGTCTCCAAAGCGAGAAGTATGACCCAGTTGAACGAAGAGGACTCATCCTGATGGAACGAACATGGCAGGTTTCGACCAGATGTGGACCCCCAAAGAAAGCGGTGGCCCAGGAACTGGCTCGAAACCTGCTCACCAGTCTGCTCACCTTGGTCGTGCGGGTTCCAGGAAAGTGATTGATTTCTTGGATGATTCAAACCGTCGACTGTGTGATTATAGTCTGACGTTTGTCACCCAGAAAAACCATTGACTCCGCCTTTGATCGAAGCGAGTCGATCGTCCCTTTGGAGGATCGACTCGGATCTCTCTGAACTAATGCCATGGCAGGTCGCATGGCCAGGCCTGCCAGGCTGGTCGATTTCCTATCGATTCCTGGGTGATTATAGGGGGGCCTTTACCGTTGTGAAGCACTCACCCACCCAAAAATCATCCCAAGTCCTTGGGCATGTGTTCCCGTTTTTTCTTTTAGCCGAGCAAAGTGTCGGCTCAGGTACTTTGCAATGACGAAGTCAAAGCGGTTTTAGATCTCTTTACAGAGGCAGGGTGATGATGGGTGATGCATTTTCCTGACTGCCGCGGTCTCTCATGGGATCCATGCACAACCAACGGTCTCTGGTGAGCTTGGTGGATGGGTCCAAACTCGGAGCCGTGGTCCACCATCTAGCTTGACCTTCCAGAGGCCGCATATAGCTGGTAGCTCGGTCCCGGTCTCCGCCCGTGCGCCAGTGAAACCCTTTCAGCCATGACCCGTGGATGGCTGGGGATGGCGTCCTTCTGAGCCTCCGAGCCTTCTGAGGGAATCCCTTGAGTTTGAAGCAACCCGGAAGCTGACCGAATTTTGGCTTCTACAGGTTAGCGATGGGAAGTTTAAAGGCAGACCGGTCGTGAATCTAAAGGGATGGTTTGATGGCGAGGGGGGTCCATCATCAGTCCAAAAATCCAAAAAAGCAGGAAAGAAGCCTTTGACCAGTGGATCGGGATCAACACGCAAGGATCCAGTGCTGAAGCTTTCGACCTCCTTTCTCAATGACATCATCGTGGAAGGAGCGCCAGTCGGGTGGGTGGGTGGGTGGGTGGGTGGGTGGCTGTCTAAGAGGATTGCGGGTTGGGTCCGAGTATGAAGAGTAGCAGGTGAGGGCGAACACCTGGACATGAGAAGATTGATATTAGATTCACCAGATGCCTGTGTTTGAATGTCCTATCAAACAAAGCCTCAACAGGCTCACTTTGGGTTGAAAGGGATCTGTTGGTTGACATGTTTAAACACATGTTTGGGTCTTAGCTGTCTTAGCTCATGCCGAACACCTCTTATTACACATGTCTTACGCACCTCATGTGGTTTTGGCTTTTCTCTCGGCACCTCGAGGATGCAAGCAGCGGCCCTGGTGGTCGCCCGAGCCGAGAAAGGCGCTTTCAGCAGCGGAGAAGCCGCGCGAAGAGCTCTGATCGGAAAGCCGCGCATCTCGGCCGAGCTCGGGGCACGGTTCGGCGGATCGAGCAAGCGGATCGGAGGAGCAGAGCAGTGGCTTTTGGTGAAGCAGTGTGGTGAACCAAAGAATCAAACAGCAATGACTTAATTGGGCAGGTGTTTGGTGAGTTTCCATGCATGTCATTCAAAACTATAGTATACAGCAACTCTTGGGATGACGCTCCCTAACTTTGCCAACGGCGGTCCACGGGGTTGACGATGTTTCTATGTGTCATCTTCGGCTCAGTGTGTGTTTTGGAGCGTCCACCTGTGGGGCCTACGGGTTCTCAGCCATGTGACCTGTCCGGACGAAAGCACCGACACCGACACCACGCAAGGGAGCACCAATCATTGACGCCTACGTTGCTGTTCTTTGAGTATACTGAGCTCTACTGGAGCGCTGGGTGCTGGTAGAACCAACCATGCCGAGCCTCACATCGCGCCAGATCCGCCACCCCGTTGGCAGTCGGATGCAGTCGGTGTTTGTTTCACCCGAGAACCATGTGGCCACGTAAAGTTCGGTGTGGTCGCAAAAAGAGGGACGTCCAGAGCAAGCAGCTGGCAAGCAGTTCCTGGAAGAAAGCAAATCTACTTGATCCAACATGTGTTCTTTTCCTGACAGGATGATTCTTTCACATACACGCGTGTATCCTTTATCTATATTGGATGAAGTTCAAGGCTTGCTTGTTTATCTCAGTCATTCTCCCGCACTTTCCGCAGCTCTTCTCTTGGTATCCCATTCACAGATGTCGTGGCTTTTGATGCTTTTCTCTTCCAGTCACGCCTCGCTGAGAAGTGCTCAAAAGGGTGGTCACGACCACCTCACACCGGTCCTCACGACCACCTAACGGGTCCTCACACACCTTTCCCGGCTCCAGGGAGCATGGAGCTCCTCCTGAGACTCCTATGATGCTGGTAGAGCCCGGAAGCCTGGTGGAGCCCCGGTCACGGCAATGGCAGTCGGAGTCCCATCGGGGTTGGGTGCGGCCGGTCGGAGCGGCCTGGGTGTTTGGGGCCTGGGCGGAGATCTGGGACCGGCATAGTCAAGTGGACTAGCTTAGGGACACCATGCAGTGATGACCGGAATGCTCGTGGTGATCTTGCAGAGAAAGGGATGGTCTCACATGAAACACCCATCCTTACTCAAGATCTTCTTTGGGATCTTGGATTTGAATATCCACCTAAAAAGCACCTGCTGGCTTGACCTTTTGCCCTTGCCAATACACCAAAAAGTGATTGTGTTATGTCTACTGCATCGTTGCTTTTCCTGCAGTTCTTTCATTTTCTCTCGCTTGCTTGACCTATCCATTCCTGTTGAATCTCCTGATATGCCGTTTCCTCAATCTGAACATCCAGATCATCGACTGAGTGTTTAGTAAGATAGACCAAGGGGGTGGTACCTGCTATCCTTGTCAGCATCGGATCTGTAGACCTTCAAGACATGATGCCAGAGACGAGACCTGAAAGGTCCGATATTTGTCCAAGGATACCTAGCACTTCCTGTCTGGGTGCCCTGTCTGGAGACCTATAAGTAGTGTAGGATTGTCCATTGACCCATTGGAAGCAGCTGGTGGTAGAGAGTTTCCCCAATCCTTTTGATTGGGCCACCTTTAGATGAGGTCTACAGAACCCACCTTTCGCCATCATGGTGCCATCGAATGCCGCAAAAAGGCACTTGTCTAATTACCACAAATTATCCTGACCGCGTGTGAGTCAAGGTCTTAAAGGCTCTTAAACGGGGGCATGGATGTCTCCGGGTCGATCCTGATAGTGCGGTTCGATGTCCCCGTCGCTTCGGCTTCCGTTCGGTCGGTCCAGATGCCCCGTCTTGAGCCCTTCGGCGAATCCCAGGTCGGCCACGTCATCGAGAGAGCAATCGCTCCATGCGACCCTGGGCACCATGCGACCCGGCAGACCATCTCGGGGGGAGTGGTCGATGGTGGAGTCGTTTGTTCGGCGGTGGAGTCGCCGTCCGTTCCGCTTTGAACATGCCAGCTTTTGATCGGATAGAAGTTCGATGAAGTTCGTGTGGCTCGGTGGATTTGGGGATCCATGTGAAGGGGTGAAGGATATTTCCCAGTGTATGGTGGATGTTAGTCAGAAGAGGGGTCCAACAGTCCCTGCGATGTTTCAAGTGCATCCTCATAGGCACTTGCTGGGCAACGCAACATGGATGTTTCAGGGACCCGCCATGGAGATAACTTTTGTTGTGATTGATGGTCAACGTCTTTTCCATCGCACATCCAGTCGCCAAAGCCATTTGCGTCTCACGATCCTTCAATCCATGTTCTGGGAATGTCAAGAACTTGGGGAACCCTTAATTAGAGAGTGCATCATGTTTGGGGGAGGGTGAGAAACTGAACCTTCTGAATCTTTTGGAGCTTGTCACCTTCGCATCCTGCCTGATTACCTTCCCAAAACCAATGTGGAGATGAACATGCACCACCTGAACACTCAAGACGGTTCTCCATTGTTTTCCTGTTGCCAAAGGGTACCATAAGATGTATGATTCATGTTGGTGTCATGATTCATGTACTTCATTGGAGTGCAAAAAGGCTTACACCTAACCATGTATGTCAATCTAGAATCTAGCAGATGCAACTTCAATGTTCCCACTCACAACAGCTCCCCATCATGACCTGACAGCCTGAAGGGAAGCCTCAAGGTGCTAGCGAAGCCAACTAGCAAACTTCTTCGACGCTCGTGTTTTTGGAGGCTCTCCCAGCCAGAATCGATTTTTCCCATCCAAGCGGCGACATGGCTCTCTTCATCATGGCTCAGTCCAGCTGGCTCGTCCAAAGATGTCCAAACAGTCACCCAAGTAGATACATGGTGGATGTGGGTTTCGTCCCTGTTCTCATGTGCTGCCTGAAAAAACTGTCCTTGACAGAGGCAAGACCGGTGGCCATCGTCCTTTTGACCAAAAACCCCATGGGACCGGTGGCGGTTCCACCCGTCGTCCCGGTGGACAAACACCGGACCGGCGTCCGGTGGGTCGTCGTGTCACACCGGACTCGAGGTCTGAAGAAGTGGAAAAGCAACAGGAGGGGAGCCGAAGTCGTTGGGGGAGACCGTGGACCGTGCGGGTTCCGGCCTTCTCGGGTTCCGGCTGTTCCGGCTGGTTCCGGCTGTCCCAGCAAGTGCTTCGACAGGCGGAAAGCGTTCGGTGTTATGGCGAGGACTACAAGCACCATCAACCATCCAGTCTTGATATTGGTTATATCGACAGCGGCTCTTGATATGTCAAGTACAGGTAAGGTCTCAAGTTAAACAGTGAATCATACACCACCCATTGTTTTGCATTCATCAGTGTTGTTGATAGACACAACAAGTGAAATCTCCTTATGGAGCGTTCCTCGAGCAAATTCACCGCTTGATGGCACAAAGACAACAAACGTGCACAAATCCAATAAAAATCCAACACGTCGCGCTCTTGAGCGTGGTTGATGGACGAAGCACAGGTAAATCACTGTATACTGTCCAATACTTTTGGTGTATGACTGCATGGTTTAATGTATCCACCATTCGAATGAGCTAGCCCAAGAGACATTGGGATGCCCAGCATCCCAAATTAGCCATACATTAAGGAAACTCAGTTTGGCTCAAAGCGCCAAATATAAGCCTGAACTAAGGAATTCGTCTCAGGGGGGAGGGTTTATGTGCGAGTGATGCTCCAAGATTCAGTCGAAACAACTGTTGGGATGCAAAAAAAGGATGAAAAAGGTCGTTCCACCGCCTTTAGATACCGATCGGCCTAAAATCAAAGGCCCCCCGCAGACACCACTTCTCTGAGATTCGATGCCCATGCTCTCGAGCCATCGCTCTAATATTAAGAAGAAGAAAAAGAAGAAGAAGAAGAGCCACTGCGATGGTTCGCGATGTGTTTAGCGATGTGTTCGCGGGTTGTATCATTTTTGGTCACTGCAAGTTACGCCACTTCACATACTCACATTCGATGAGTGTAGAAGAAAATGAATCTATACCAGGACAATCACGAGTTGCACCACCAGAACTCCTGTCACTTTCTATATGACCCCAAATCCAAGTGATTACTAGGAGGTGGCTGTTTCAGCCTCGGATGGAGCCTCCGCACCGTCCGCGGGTCTCCGTGCACGACCCGCGGACACGACCCACGCAGTTTGGCAGTGGAGGGCCAGTGTTGATCATCCTGGGCTCGGGGGACTCAGCGATTCGCTGCGGTTCCAGCGGTTCATGTGGAGTGATGGACTTACAGCAAGCTGGTCGGGAGAGAGTCGGTGAAGCTTGAGCCGGTGAAGCTTGAGTTCGTCGTTTCATCATAATATATGTTTCTGTGTTTTTTCTGGTCAGTTTCACCGGAGTTGAGGATCGTGAACTGAACAACCAAACTGTTTCAAATAGCATTGTAAATGAATTGAAACCATTTGGCTGGGTGCGGTCATCCTTCAATTGAAAGGAGTGAAGCCTTGTGGTGGTCTCGTTTGTCACACGATAACTTTGCTACTAGACCAGCTTGTTTTTGATACCATGATGGATTAATCGAATTCCACAGACCCATGACCACGATGTTTCCAAGGTTTCTGGCTGTACCTGCCAAAGCTGCTGTGAAATCCCTCGGCCATCTCCTGAACAATCATTTTATGCCCAGGACCTCACTGTGTGGCTAGTTTTCCTGCTACCTACCCAGTTGCCAATGATTTGCCTGCCTAGGGCCCACCGCCAGCTTCCCAGCACACCTGGAACGCCTGGCGCGCAAAAAGACCTCTGACGGTCCACCATCCATGTGCAAGCGACGGAAGGTGGAGGCGCGGTCAGTCAAACTCCTGTGAAGAGTCGGGTGGGAGTAGAACAGGGCGAGAGTAGGGCGAACCAACAGAGGTAGCCAGTGACCGTAAATAGGACCCGTTAGCTGGGGTACCGAACTGGGATAGCCGAACTAGGGTTCTGACCCACCGCTGTTGGTGTGTTGGGCGATTCTTTGGTGTTCGAGCAATGCTTT